GACAATTTTGAAATTATTATTTGATCAAGTTCCTACAGTTAGTACTAATGATATTAGCATATGGCAACTTCACAGAATATTATAACTAATTAATAAAAGATACTAATAAATAAAAAAGTACTTAAAATTAAGCTGTGAAAAACTGTTTTATTTTCTACTTAATTTACATTACTTTCATCTACTTCAAAGACTACGACATAATCATCCTCTGTATCTTGTTGGTAGCATGTTAGCAAATGAGTCTGTAAATCTTCCATGTCAAGGAATACTGAAGAACACTGACCACATATATATCTTGTTTCTTCTTCTTCACTGGAATGGTTTCTTGAGGTATCTATATTATCATCCTCACATTTTGTTGCTCCTTCAGAGTCTATTTCTTCCATTCTTGCAGAGAATAATTTTTCCTCTTTGCTTTTACACTCACCTACTTCTTTGTCTGGTATACAGACTTCCATATTATTGTTGCTATGTTCTGATAGTCTTTTTGTACTCTTTTTATCACAAGTAACTTCTGAGCACTCTACCTCTGACTCTTTAATAATTGAATTTATCAGTAATGAAATTCCTTTTGCACTAACATCATCAACCTCTTTCAGCAATCTTACTTCTCTGTCACATTTTATATAGTCATCTTTATTTAGTGTTTTTTCTTGAAGTGCATAAGTAAAATCTGATTTATCATGGATTATTCTTGAGTATTCACTACTATTTCCTTGTTCTGTAAACACTGTATTGGTACTATTTGCTTCTATCTTTCCAGAGTATTCATTACTATCCTTTTCCTCTATAATTGCTGTCAGGTTAGTATTTTCTTGAATTCTTCCAGGGTGTTCACTGTTACCACTTTCCTCTGTAAGTACTGTCATTGCATTTTCAATATCTTGAGCTTCATCACCTTCTACAAACAAAATTTCTGTATCCTCAAAATCAAAATGTGTTTTTATATGTATGGCTAGACCTGCCCGACGCATGAAAACCTGTGAACATAATGGGCACTTCCTATTCCAGTTCATAACAAAATTATCATCATTTATTTTAACACCATGATGTGCATTGAAATGATCTTTTAAAAGTTCAATTGAAGCAAAGGGTATCAAACATATTACACAGTCATATGGTTTACCCTTAGCATGAATCTTCATATGAGCCTGTAGTGTTAAGTAAGATTTGAATTTGGCGTGACAAAGAGCACATTCATGTGACCCTCCTAGATTGTGAGATTGTACATGACGTCTGAGATCTTTGGCAATCAAAAAAACTTTGCTACAAACTGGGCATGGATATTCAGTACTGCCTAACTTGTGCTTTCTAAGCAAATGCTGGGACAGTAACTGCTTAGTTTTACAGGTTTTCTCACACAAAGTACACTTAAAGTCTTGATTACTGTGGGTTGATGCAATATGATTACTGAGGGATGCTTTGCTACTAAACCTTTCATTACATAGGGAGCATGTGAATGGCCAGGAGTCCTCTTTTCCATAGCACTTACTTTCCTTGTGAAGCATCATATGGCTATCAAGGCTTTGTCTCGTCTTGTATAATGCCCCACAAATAGGACAAACTAAGAGTCTGTGACTTCCACTACCTGCTTGATGTTTGTACATCAATTCTTTACTGGCAAATATCCTACCACATGTACACAAGACTTTTTCTGCACCATTTGGGTGTAAGATACGCATATGTTTATTTAAAGCATTCTTACGCTTGAAACCCTTCAGGCATATTGAACAAGAAAAGGACAGTTCACTGGAATGACTAATCTTGTGTTCTTTCAGATGGGCTTGGGATGGAAATAATTTGGCACACTCATTGCATCTATGATTCCTTTTACGATTATATTTTTTTCTTTCAGGAATGTTGCTTTGCTCTGTTGCACTTGATTCACTGTCAGCCTCCAAGTCAAAGTCACTGAATGGTAATTGTGAATTGTCTTTAGTTATGTCACCTCCAATCTCTAACTGTCTATCTTTCTCACTGCTGTCTGTTCTTCTTTCATATCTGTTTGCATCTGTGGTATCAAATTGAAGTTTTTTTTTAGAATGATGTCTTTACTTCTGTCACTAGTACTTAACATGCTAACATGTTTATTTTCGGATTTAACAACTAACTTATGAACATCACGTACATGATTATCAACACCTTTTGACTCATCTAATACAAGATCACAAAATGGACACTGAGAACCAGTAACAGTTAGACTCTGAATATGTGATTTTTTTTTACCTGCTTCATAATTTTGCTTTATTTGGCCTGGATTACTTAATTTTGCCTGAGGTTCATTTGTTCTTCTACTTAAGATTTGAAATCTTTTGTTTGATTCTCTAACTTCCCCTGCAAATTTTCTACTATCTGTCAATATATTTATAGGTCTTCCATCTGCAAGAAAACTCTTTTCATCCAAAAGGAATGATACTTGTTCAGCCATATCTGGAGAAGTTACAACACCTTGATCATCATCAATGACTGTAACCTGTCCCACATTTGCATCTTCTACCTG